AGTAATATTAAAGAAAAACCAACATTTTATGTAATATAAATATATAACTACTATTTAATTACTATTTATTATCCATCTATAACTCGCGTATAAATTCACGACAAAGTACTTCGATTAGGAGTTGTATTTTTGCTGTGCTTTTTGAAATTTATTTTTGTATCTAATTTTAGCCATAAATTAAGCTCCGCCTTCAACTTTTACTTCATCTTTCGTTTAACGCAAGTAATAGCTGACAGTCGAATTAAAAATATGTTTGGAAAATAAATATAATTTTATAAAAAAAATCCCCCTCTACAAAAAAAAAGAAGAACAGACAGCTTCATAGTTGTGTGGGAGAAAAGCTCCCACGGCTCACATTGATATAAAAAAAGGTTAGATCCCATGAAATATTAATGGATTTCCGCCTATAACTTGTCGACATTTTATTACATATCGTGAATTAGATTATAGGTACCTATTTGTACTGTCAATTATATTTAATATAAAAATAAAAGCTCACTCGTTTTATGTTATTAATTTTAGACGCATCAATAGCACATTTTTATCGCAAGTAAAACATGTAAATAAGTTATGTGTTATAATATTTTTTAGGATCGAGTTTAAATATTTATCCATATCATATATTTTAATAAAAATTGCTCATAAATTAAAGTTACATATTATTATACTATATACAAATTATTAAATATTACACTTCTTTACATTTAGATTATTATGTTTATAATACATTCTAAAAACGTCTAATCGATTATATTTTAAAAGTTAAAAACAAAGTGTTTATTAGTATATTTTTATAATGCAATTATTTAACAAATATTTAGTATTTATTTACTCAAGCGTTTTGCTGCAGAATGTTAAAATATATTATAAAAGTGCTTTGCAATAACACATTATTACCTACGTATTGATTATTTAAATCACTCATATACCCTCTTCATAGTTTATATTCGAAAATTATACTATAATATTTTCGATCGATTTCGCTCGTCCATAGTTAGGTATCGTATCATATTTTCGATTTGAATATAATATTGCCTAAGACTTTTATCATGCGCCGACCTAATTCATATTATTATATGATGGTCAATAGTTTTCCTTACTTTTTTCTGAAATCGTTACTGTTGTGCACAGTTATTCATTTTATTTTTTAGATTTACAGGATAGGGTACTCAATGAATATCAAACAGCTAGTTTTTATCCATACCCCATTGAGTTGTGATAAAATTATGCGAACATTCTATTGTAAGACGTTTACGTTATCGCGTTTCGCACACTAGACGCATCAACTATATTATTATTATTTTCGTCTCAAATTAGTTTAGGATATATTTTAATATGCTATAATAATTCTAGTAAACTGCAGTATAACGGTTATGACGTCATATTTATGTGCGCAGCCTGGTTTAAACCTATACACATAGACACATAATATATATATTATAATATCTATATGCGTATAGTGTGGGTATTGTATAATATAACTGCATAGAAAAATTGCATAATTTTCGAAGAAAAAGTGCCCGTTGCACCGTCTTACAATATAATATTGGCAGTTGATTAAAAATGTTATTAAAAGTATTCAAGTTTGAAAAAAAAATCCCTCATACATATCACCCGAAACGTAGTACAGGTACGAACTTATATTATCGTTACAGTATAGACTAGCCGTTGATATTTTATCTGCACATAAATAGATAATATTCTGTAATATTATAATAACTGTTGACATACCAAGTGTAACAAAAATAGGTGACAAACGTAATTTATTGACTAACTGTATATTGCTTGTAAATATAATTTTTTTGGTGCACACATTGGTAATTATCGAATTATTATTACATTATAATAATGTCTAAATTTAAAAAAGGCGAACAAGTTGGTATCGCTCTCCTGTACAGTGGTTGTCGAGTATGTAATTGTAATGGACGTGTATTGTATTTGAATTCAATAATAAATCATTTCATACGAACAACTATTTTGAGCGGAGACATTTTATTGTGTCATCCAAGTTAAGCTTAATTAAAAAATTTTAATCGAAAATATATCAGCTATAAATAGAACCTAACTTTCCGGTAAACCATTTTTTTTTGTTAAAGGTAGTAAAGTTGTTGTGGGGATTTTCTATGAAAATGTATAATGTTAGCGATGAAAAGAAAAACTTTTATAAATTTCTAACTGGAAAATAATTTGAAAATTTTCGGGATTTTGATTAATTTTGTCAAAATTTGAAATTTAAATGAATTTAAAAATGAATCGTGCGTGTACATATTCAATATTTTTGAACTTCTATAAAACAACTTATTAGGAACATTGCATTCAATTTTAAAGGTTTTTATCAAGTGAAAAAGTTTTTATCGACAATAATTTAAAACAATTTTACAAAACTAGAAAACTTTCTCATGGCTATAAATAGTACACAAAGAGTCAAAATGTTTTGAAAATATTACAAGTGTCTACACTGTCTACACTGTAGACTCTACAGCTATTAGTTTTATTATGAGTTACACCAAAATAATAAAATCGATTTTTTCAAAAATTGGGTTTGCTTAAAAATTTCCATTTTTTTTTTGTTTTTCCCGACGCTTTGGAATATTACTGGGGATTTTCAATTTTGACCAACTAGATTCGCTTTCTATCAAAAAAGATGCTGATATCGAAAATTGGAACAGTTTTACTACCATAAACGTTGATGGCAGTCAGAAAAAAAAACATCATTGTAAATACAATACGTTCATCGCTACCCTCAGAATATAAAATCTAAAAATAATAGTCATTACATAGTTAGTTAATTGCATCTGTAAGTTGTCTATGTTATATCATACCTATATATGTATATATATATATATATGCAATTCAACGTGAATATAATTATAATATGGAACACGTGTGGAATAATGATATTCTTGTATAACATAAACAATACCTACACAGTGTACGAGCAATTTTAACTGTGAAAACATTAAAACAATTCATTGTATTAACCTAGTTTGAATTCTATCCTCCCTTTTAAGACGAAGAAATTAAAAATGTTGGTACCTATTTCGTTCTTTATTCTGCCGGACGTATAGATCCATAATTTATAATAACCTTATATGCGGGTAATGACGTTGATGCAGTGGCGTATTGAGGGTTTTTCCACCTATATAGACACTTTCCAATTCGCGGACTTTCCCTCCCCATCTCTCCTAAAATCGTTTGTTACCTATGTGTTTACTGGTTCGTATTGCGTATGTGTATAATATGTAGGTATATGTAGGTAGCTGTTTAAGCTGTTTGAGCGAACGGACTTGATTGTTTAAGGTTCAACTTTTAATTCTAAATTTTATAATATATAATTTGTATAAAAATAATTTTTTTTCTCAAAACATCAGTAAAATTTGATTTCATCAAATGAAAAATACATTTTGTAATTTTATAAAAAGAAAATTGTTGAAGGCACCTTCAAATGTACCCACTCTAGGCCAGCTGAATGCGCTTCTGCGTACGTCATCTAGCTGCGTTGATGAGTATAATACTATAATGTCAGTATGTCACCATAATATTGTGTTCGTCGTATCCTGATTTTCGGGTAAACTCGACAGACCGTTTCCCGGCATTAACGCCGTCATTGTTTTCCTTTTTTGACCAACGAAGGCAGTAATATGACCATTTTTCGATCGTTTATAGGGATTTTTTTGTGTAAAGTTCAAGTTTTTGCCGTATCAGAATAAATTAACTCGTTTGCATTTTCAATAAACAATAAATTATAAATACGATTTTGTGAACAAAAATTAAAATTAATTTTAAAAATTAAAGAGTCTCATTAATTAATTATATTATTTCTCAGCAATGTTTACAAGTCATTATGGTTTTGCATATCTTTTACATGATGTATGTAATGTTTTCATTGATCGACAATTTGAACTCCTCTCCCTCAACCACGTAGTCTATAGACGCCCGTTCACCTTTCACCCCTGACTATTTTACAACCATAGTATATACTATACCGCACGACTTGCGGACAACTTGACGTCGTTATTTATACGTCATGCGATACCTATTGTAACGTATGTTACATCATTACGTTTATTTTATAAGCATTATAATATGCACAATAGGCTTATTATGCGCTGACTATAATATATTAAGCCCCTCCGGTTTAGGTGGCACATATATATATTTTATGATTGTAAGGCTCCGGCCAATATCCCTATGTAAGAGAAAGCCAATTCTCCTCGAGTCCATCACGTGCATCTGAACTCCGTACAATCCTACAGTTTTGGTAACTTTGTTCGTAAATTGTAAGTAATAACAAATAATTTGTTTGTATTAATAATAATTTAGATCAATCGTTATTTATTTGTAATATTAAGATCCTAATACCATTCGTGCTCCCGAGCTACGGTAAAAATATAATATTCAAAAGAACTAATTTCTTTCCTGAATATCTTATATTTAACGGGTCATCCCCGACCACGTTACTCTATATAATATGATATTATATTATTATGTTGTCTATATTATTATAGTCGTGCAGTAAACTCACAGATTTTTGATTTTTTACTCACGATATAATAATATTATAATATGGTTTTTGTCATGAAATATAGCATATAGGTAACAATTAGCAATGAGGAAATACTATATAAAACGTTTGATATTATTATACCACTGTGGGTAGGTACCCATATTGGTTGTTGGAACTGAATAGACAAAACGCTTTACCGCCGTATAATAATGATGTATTCGTGGCAAGGTGCGGAGTAGTGGCTGAAATCAATCACTCGGCATGATTGAGAGTAAGCGACGGGTGCTGCTACTAGTTGTCTGATGGGTGACCACCCGGGTTCGTACTGCGCAAAAACCTTATCACACATACACGTGTCCCCAACCCAACTTTACCAACCCTACTGTACCAACCCTATATCAACCTAGAGGCTAATGACCTCAATTGTCAAGGCCTTAAACCTAATGAAAAAATAAAAAAATGTATGTATTATGTTTTTTGTTCCACATGGCAGTCCCGCCGATGCTGTGGATACCACATCAGCTTGTCGGCGTGCCACTGGGCTACAATGTGACGCTGGAGTGTTACACCGAGGCGCACCCGACGTCCTTGCACTACTGGACCCGGGACAGCGGACAGATGTTGCACGACAGCGGCAAATACAAGGCCGTGTCCATACAGGGCGCGCCGTCGTATAAGGTGCAGATGAAGCTGACCATCGTGGACGTGTCGCACACCGACTACGGCGTGTACAAGTGTGTGGCGAAGAACTCCCGCGGTGAGACCGACGGAACGATTCGGCTGTACAGTGAGTGGTCGTACTTGATTATTTTCTGAATATTTTATGCGTTTCGATCTGCAGTATAACTAATAATATTATGACAAGACGCGCATATGTGCGCGTATATATTAATATTATTATAAATCATGGTGTACGAAACACCACGTTTTTCGCTAGCTATATCCACCACCCCCGCCTCCACCCTGCTTTAGTGTCGTTATTATATTATGCGTCGTAATATCACGACCCCTATGCAGGTGTATAATAATATAATATAATGAAGTGTTCTGTAAGAAGTGTGTGTAGATAATGTACAATAATGTGTTATGCGGGGACGTACAGACTATAGAGAAATAAAAAAATCTTAGTGTTCGAACTTGGTACATTCCATGGCAATAGTTTTGCAATACATTATATTAATTGCGTTTAACTTTTAAAAATGTTCCAACAATTAATATAAGTAGGTACAGGGTAGACCTCCTTCAATAAGAATATCAAGCCCATGTTTTAATTTCTTAAATTGATTTTTATTTTTTACCACACCGCTAATATTTCCATTATAGATATTATACTAAGTTTCATGTAGTGATAACACTTTGCTCTCGTCTGTTTCTTATATTTTTTAATGTGCATGTGCCTCTTCTTTTTACGGTCGCTTTCATTCGTTTCGTCTTTGTGCCATTTCTGCCTACACTTGTTTTCAAGTTTCATCTCTGCTGATTAACTGGGCTAGAACGATCGTATTTCTGGATCCAGTACTGTGACTCGCTAACATCAGGTACATTTTTATCACTTTGCATCGCCAAGCCTTGCCAACTTCACTTTATCAATAAACCGATTATCTGTTTCTTGGTGACTTTAACGCTAGGCTTCATCATTTTCCATTACCCAACTGTTTTTCACCGGCTGGCGTGCTCTACTACATTACTGGGCTTTGTATTGCGTCCTCTCGTTCTTAAGGAGTTATCTTAAAGCGTTGATATATATATTTTTTTTCTTCAAAACTTTGACACCCAGTTATGCCTCCAACCCATATGACACTTGTGAGCAAGTTTTTGTTCACTTCATTCTTCCCAGGGGCCTCTCTGTGTTTTTAGCAGGAGTATATTTACCTCCTGGTGCAAACTTTTCTGTTTATGAGAGTCATGTTGAGACTCGGGAACGGGTCTGGAGATCTTCTGAATATGATTTTGGTTTCGTATGTGGTGACTTCAACATGCCCAATGTTAATTGGTCCGTCAGTGATTCGGGTCTTGTTTATACTGGTAGTATAACTAATAAGGTCCACGTTCTTGGCGATCAGTTCGGTCTCCTTCACTTCGTCCAAAAGAACCAAATTCTCAATAACACTGGGTCTCTTCTTGACTTAATTTTCACCAACAACGAATCTACCCAAGCCCTGCACTCTACTGACATTTTAGTTCCATGTGACATTTATCACCCTGCCCAGTCTATCTCCTGTCCCTTTCCTTCAACCCTTCCTATGATAGACGTTAAACACACTTATTACGAAATTAAAAATCCTAGCTATGAGAGGATTATTGATAGATTAGAGAGTATTTTATTGGTATAACGCTTTTGGTTCAGGATCGGCAGATCATTCTGCTGATTCCTTACAGAAATCATTGATTGTCCTTATTCGTAAATGCGTTTCATTACGTAACTTTCGAAATCTCCAATATGGGTCTCAAGGAGGCTAAAGGAACTTCTTGCTATGAAAAAACAATCGCATAAACAATATAAAATGTTAGTTGGTCATAACCGTTGCTTAATCTTCTCTGGACTGCGTGCTCAATGTAAGTTTGAATCGAAACGTCTCTATAGTGATTATTTGCGTAACATGCAGGAGCGTTTAAATATAGATCCTAAATCATTTTGGGAATTCATTCGAAGTAAACGTGGTGTCACTACAATACCAGATGAGGTTCATCTTGGGGATTCTAAGCTTCCAGTGATCAAGTTGCCTCTTTTTTTGCCTTTCACTTCTCATCTGTATCTGGTGACTCACTGTTTACTTCCAATGAATTATCCAATGAGTGTACAAGCCACCAATTTTCATTCCTTCCTTCTAATTTATCCATATCGATTTATGATGTTAATGCAGAACAAACTCCCAATCAAATGCTCGTGGTTCTGGCCCGGATGGTATTTCTGCCATTCTATTGTACCACTGCCGTGCCTCTCTCAGCTTACCGTCACTTTATTTTTATTCATCACTTCTAGAGGGTGTTGCCCTTCTGTGTAGAATATAAGTCAAGTTACGCCAATATTAAAGTCTGGTAATCCTGCTGATGTTGCTAACTATAGACCCATCTCCAGCCTACCACTCCTAGGTAAATTGTTTGAGTTTATAGTACTCAAACGAATCGAGCGCTCTTTCTTAACCACTTTATCAACATGGGTTCTTTCCTGGTCATTCAAAGTCAACCAGTCTTGTAGACTTCATATCTTACCTTCACGAGGCGTTTGAATTGGGTAATCAAGTTGATGTGATATACACAGACTTTTCAAAAACTTTCGACTCTATTGACCACAATGCACTTCTTTATATCTTGACAGGCTGGTGTTGGAACACTCTTATCATGGTTCAGTTCCTACCTTAGTGAGCGTCAACTATTTGTCTGCCTCTTTGGCAAGTCATCTGAGCTTTTCCTAGCATCGTCTGGAGTTCCACAAGGTAGCCATTTAGGTCCCCTATTATTTAATATTTTCATCAACACCATGTGCTCACGGTTTCCCCTTGTCGTCTTCTACTTTTGGCCGATGATTCTAAATCTTTCACACAATAACCTCAAATAATGATTGCCTCACTCTCCAAAAAACATTGATAAATTCATTAATGGTGGTAATACGTTTAATTTACCTCTTGACATCTCAAAATGTAAAGTTATGACTTTTTATCGCTCTAAGTCAATGATGTCCTTTGACTATAGGCTAGGAGGTATATCCATTCAACGTGCCAGCCAGGTACATGATTTAGGCATTTTATTTGTACCCTCCCTTAATTTCAGACCTCATATTGGTTATATGACCACCAAAGCTTTCCGTGTTTTGGGATTTATAAGACGTCACTCATTCAATTTCAGTTCAACCAATTGCATTCTTGCTCTCTATTATGCATTAGTCCGTTCGATTATTGAATACGGCTCTGTTGTTTGGTCACCATATATCGCCATTGATATTTGTCGGACTGTCAGTGTTCAAAATAGTTGTATGCGTTTCGCCGGTCATTGCCTCAACATCCCCCATCTACCACATGATTATGGGCCAATATTTCAAGCTCTGGGACTTGATTCCCTTTCGGTTAGGCTTGATAATTTTAGTATCACTTTTATTCAGGGTCTGATCGAAGGTCGAGTTGATGCAAGGTCGAGTTGATGCAACAAGGCTCCTTGGAGAACTTAGTTTTCATATTCCTAGTAATACTAGGCTTCAGTTTAATTTGTATATACCCACCAATAAATCTAACTTCTCCAGGAATGCCTCGCTTTTACGAATGATACATAACGCAAACAATAAGATAGATTATTAAACCATATTTATTACTGAGGCTCACATTAAAAAAAAAATCTATGGTTTTAATATAATTTACACCGCGTTTGTTTTTTTTTCTCTCTTTGCCTATATCATTTAAGTTTTTAAGAATATTAAATTTTAAGTAATTATATGCAAAACATCTTATAAATTGCTATAATACGTCTTTATCTGTTATCTACCTTTTTCTTTATTATATAATTTTGTAAAAGCCGTCTGGCGTTGATTATAATAAATACATAAATAAATAAATATATTTGTAAACACCAATCATTATTATAACTAGCACTATTACCGACAACATTTTTGGGGATCAAAAACCCTCCCAAAATATTTCTGTTAATAAGAAAGAAAACATACAAGTTTGATTTAAAAGAAAAAAATAATCTAATCAACCATTATAAGTGCATTCTTTTCCGAAACACCTTTCGATTTTGTTAAGTACGTCCCTATGTTTAAAATATTATTATGTTTATAACGCATTGTACACGGCCGCTTTTACTACCCTTGCAGCACCGCTATAATACCGCTTGCCGAACCTTGGCGTATTTATTGCACCGTTTTTTTTTCTATTTCAGTCTAGATCTATTATAAAGACAATAAACTCTACAGTGCAGTCGAGTCTCGATAAATCGAATCTCGAGAATAATAAAAATAAATTCGATTTGCCAATGTATTTTTCTAGTTGTATACCGCCAACCTATATGACACAACTTAAAAGCGTTTCAAGGGGTGAGAAAAAAAATTTGAGTCGTAGGGATTCGAGTTTTCGAGACTCGTCTGTATTATTCTACTCCGGAAGAATATGTATTAACCGGCTAGGAGAATGGCTGTCATTCGGCTAAATAAACTAATCTAGAAATCGTGGAATACGTTAAACCGCGTTCATATTTACTAGAAAACAAATTTTCAAACACATGATAATATTGATCGTATCAAGATTGTTCGACGTTACACAAATATAACTAAGTGAATATATTATTTTATTGTATATTATACATTATACAATTTAAGGGCCTAGAGTGGTTTGTGGTACGGGTTTTCATTCCATATAATATTATACTCTGCCATTAAGCAGTAATAAATAATAATACAATTTTGTCAAAATCGAGTTTTTGATGTCTATAGATCATAATATTTCGATTCCCGTAACAAAAATTATGGTTTTTGCAAACAAAATGTTTATAAAAATAGATTACAAAATAATTAATACGAAAGAAGATGGTATGTACACAATATTATTACATAAATCCATTAAGATCAGAAGCAAATACGCAGTATGTCCAAATACTAGAACAATAAACTGTAACTGATCTAGAGTTAAAATACATAATATTAAACATCGCTATATGTCTATATGAACACACAATAGTATGCCAATGATATCAGAAGGCATTTAGCAGGGTTTGTTCCATCAGCAAAACATGCTCCAAATAAAAGTGTACTTACTGCGGGTTTTTAAGTCTTCTGATTCATATAAGCCAATATTATGTAGTAAGCCCGTTAAAACCAATAAAAAGTTATGTACATTTATTTTTATCGTGTTCAATATAGTTTCAATAATATAATGACGTACCATATTCTTAATGTTTAAAAATTATTGTTTTTACTCTGCGGTCTAGTTTAGTGTTGAAAATCGTTTTATTGTTTCTTGAAAACTACGTTCTTGGAGTTACTACTTATAAAGTGGCTTTTGACAACAGTATAGGTATTATAGTCGCATTCCTTGTACATTTCATTCGTACGACGTCCGAAGAGTAGATGACCGTTGTACACCAAGTCGATTGAGTTTAAATTCGTATATTTTTTTTTTATTTTGGATTTATGACCGTTACAAATCAATAAAGAAACTGCGAAATTATTTCTTTATTGCTTCCGTTTCAGAGTTCCGCACACCAGTATATTATTATAATTTTATTGTTCTACTTATACGAGTTATAATTTCTATAATAAAAGATTTTTAGGATTTCGTCTTTGCATGTTTAGTTCGTTTCCGGTATTCGGTTTTTAACCGTCATCCGTTTTACTCCTAAATCCTCTGTATTATTTTTAAAATAAATTCCAATATCATCAAGCGGGGTTAGAACTACTTTGTTGTTTGAAGAATGAAGTGTAAACATTTTTTACGGGAATTAACATACAGGATACTGAATTATTCCCTGAGAGATTTACACCTTACGGTGTGCAGATTGAAAACGAAAATCGTTCCGACTAATTATTTCTCTTGGGTGATACAACCGAAGATGGTACACTGGAGAAAACAATATTTTTAAAAGTGGTGTATAATGTTTTAATCAATTTTCAATGTTTTCGTTCTCGTATGACACATAATATTCTATAGCATACATCTTACAACTAAAAAAAAAAATTGTGTTCTCCTTCACGTAACTCTCTCTCCTCTTCAACGTCTATATGAAAACTAATATTTTAATGCATAAATGTTAAAAACAAAACAGAAATATCATCCAGCGTCCTTTACACTAACGTTATGATATGAGTTATTTCCCAATGACAAGCATCTCTGAAGCTATGTGTCGTTATAGTTTTAAACCGAACACTTATTATCATCACATAATTATTTTTAAGTTTATGAAAATACTTCAACACCACGGCTAGTAAAGGATTACATCCGAGTACTTAATGTGAATGGGGGTCGGGTGTTTGGATAGACGTCTATGTGTCTTAGTTTGTAATTCACTACTCCCCGCGGTCCATTAATGCTGTTTAATGTGTGCCACGATTGCTCTTGTAAAAAATATAAAAAATGTATTAATTTCTCTAGCGTAAATCCATTCGATTCACATGACTAGTTTATTTTTTTTCATTATTTTTCCTTGCATTTAATTCACTTCGATTTTGAATATAGTACCTATGAGTGTTATATTTTACATAAACAACGCGATATCCGTGTTACTCGTACTCGTAGTTGTTACTGCTGTCTCTATATGAATATAAATTAATTAATGTAATATGGAAACTTCTATCGAAACATCTGTCTGAATATTAACATTTACTAAAATATTATATTCCTCCGAGAAGTCACTTTTGAACTGACTTATAAATTACAGTTTAATGAAATTGAAAGACAGCAGTTTCAAATATACCTACAATAAGTATTTTTTTTCCACAAAAATCACATACCTAGTAGATATTATGAAAAAATGGTCATGATTGCATTTAGAATCGTTATTATTTTAAATAATAATAATATGGTAATGAAGTTCAACTTTCCACGCCGATAACATAGCACATGGATATATATATATATATCTATATATATATATATATTATATATGCAATACATCTGCTACAAACGCATCTGCAGTTGAATTACAGTCGAATTCGAACGGAATTATTGTAAATACTACAATTTGACCACAAACCGATGTATCATCGTGGCGGCGCTGTGGCGTGTAAAGGACACTTGTTTTTAATAATTAATTTCGTTCTGTGACGTCGTCGCTTACACCGCACGTTGTCTGCACACGTCGAATCGCAGTCGAGTTTCTTCCCGCACGACCCGTGTAAAAGGATTAATTGCCGACTATACATTAATTATATAATAATAATAATATGTGTCGTGTGTACGACAACCGTTGCGATCCGAAGCTGCAGACCAATAAAAGACCGTACACGGACCCCGATGACACTCACACGGTCTTCCACGACCGGAATCCCGAGGTGCTATCATGTCAGCAGCTCTCGTCCGGGGGAGGGTAAATGTACACAATTTGTTATATTCGTTTGTGTGGGTGTGTATGTAGCAAAACCACACCGATCGTGTTCGCCGCGGTTTATTATATACACCCGCACGGCGCACATATATAATACACGGAGGGGGCAAAGGGTTTTAAATTAGTCTCGGAGAAAATGCTCGCACGTTATCGCGCAAGAGCGCACGCGGTGTTATCATCGTGTGGGTGCGTTACGTACGTTTGACGTGTTTTAAAACCACCGCGGTCTGGTCGGTAGCGGTATATAGGTATATACGTCATATATACATATAGGTTCACCTGCCACAACCGCGTGTGCGGTATACTGTGCGCGGGTATATACATTATATAATAATATATATGTGTATATCGTCGCATGGAAAACGCGCTCGGTCTTCGGATATAATATAGGTACAAGCCTGCGGTCTGAATATTGTAATTAACATATGCTTCCCGCGGGCGCCGTACATGCGGCTGACCACGGGTTGATATCCATCCGAAAACGGATGTTAAAATAATTAGTTTCCACGGCCACCGGTAATGAGCAATTTCGCAAAAGGACTGCAACCGTATAGTCCTCCGGGCTCATCGGTCGTTTTGTAAGGCAGCCTCCGTGCCGCCGGTAATGGTTTCGACAAGAAATCGTTTTGCGCCGCGGTAAACGAGCACGGCGGGCGGACGATGACCGTAAACGCTATACTATTGTCCCGCCGCAAACCCGCCCGTCACGTTCAACCGTAAACTTTGAGACGCGAAGGGAGTGCCATCGTCGTGAAGGGACTACCGCGATCGTTTGAAAATAATAATATTTTACTACCCGTCCGATGACGGTGATCGGAGAAAATGCGTCGTAGCTGGTGTCTATATTGTGTCTATCCCGGAGAAGATTCGTCCACAGCTGCAAACATGTGCGTCGAGGGGAGAAGCGATCGGATAATATATGTCACGGTCGTTTTCACACACGCGTGGTATAACTGCTTCACGGTATCGGGCAAAAGACCTGCTGAAGAATATAAAATATAAACGTATTCTCGTCTCAAACCTCGTGATGCCTGTATGGATTTATTTTTAACAGACATACCGATAATATTGCCAAATTTTGAAACTCGACTATTTTAGTGTTTCGTATATTTCAGAATAAATTATTGAGGTTTTTAGGATCTCGGGGAAAAAAAATTTCTAAAGCTATTATGATAAGACAAAGAGGGTTGATTTATAAACTCCCCCCAGGATGCAATGTCCGTTTATCGGCCTTAAAAAATTTAAATAATTCGATTTCCGTTGCCGCCAAAAAAAGTTTAAAAACCGATGATTTTAACTTTTAGGCGATATGTATTGTATGCTGAGTAGGTAACATTGAAATTGTGAAACTCAGTTATAGTGCTTTGAAATTTATAAACAATCGCGAAGACCGTACAATAACGTTCAGCGGTAACTTTCGATAATTGCAATAAAAGTTAACAGTTTAATTTAATCAAATGTTTTTTTAAAAACAATAATTTAGTTGCATGCCCTATATTTTAGTGAAATATAATTAATATAGGTACTTACTAAATAATAAATATTTTTTACTAATACGCGCTTTACTGTGACATAATTATTTTTTTTTTCTAAATCCAATTATTACTTATTTATAAAATACATTTCTTTTAATATTGTAGAATACCATTATATTTTTAATTTATGGTAATTTGAACAATTTTTTTTACTGTGGTTTACAACACACAAAATCGTTACATTATATTTGTGATTTTACACTATGGGGGAATTGAAAAATATGCATTTTCAAAATAATACATTTTGGTGATGACGAGAATTCGTCTCGATGTACTTTTTCGTTTATAGGTTAAAACAGTTTTGTTTTTTTTGGCCGGAAAAAGGATACGTGTCCTAAGAGTGAGACAGGTGGATTAAAGTTCATAGCGGGTATTGAATCTCATATTATACTATTATGGTTATGTGATTTCTCAGTTCACCGACACCCAAAATGCCGACCCCCAGTTGCCTATACCCAATTCTTCAACAGTCAGTATCATCAGTCAGTAACACCGTTTTAACATAATTAATGGAATACATAAATATAAATAATACAAATAAAAATTATAAAATAATAATAATAATAATAATATGTAATATAACAATAATATAAATAAAATAAAATGAATAATAATATGCTATATAACAATAATATAAATATAATAATATGTAATATAACAATAATATAAATAAAATAAAATGAATTATATATTGCATATACATAGTCATCAATCAATATGAGTTATATTTCGCTTTATTTAAATAATACTTTAATAACTACCATTGGTCATAGCTCCTAGCACAAAACAATGTAAAGCGTAAATCTGGATAAATAATCTAAGAGCTGATTTAAAAGCACCATCCATAAAAATGAATGTCAGCCCTGCAAAGTCCACAGAAGCCTTCAGTACCAAAAATAATTATTTAGTCGTCTTCTCCGTTTGATCCTGAATTCCTATATTTTTAATTGTATTTGCATCAAACTGTTATTTATTATGTACATTATAATACATATTTTAAAATGTATTACCTATATATTATATCGATCGATGTCAATAATCGTGTGATAGGTATAACAATAATAGAAACTAGATAGTACCTTATATAATTGTATTATAAACCGCTATGCCAAGAAGCATGTAGCCAATATTATCGTCATTTCCGGCGAATTGGGAACGAACCCGCGTACTTGCACTTGTTACCAACTTTTTTTCTAAAGTAAGACACTATTATACTATAAATAAAAATATGTGTGCAAAATTGACAAGAAATCAAATATTGTAAATACTAAATACATATTATTATTATTTATTATATCCGTGAAAAATAATAATATTATTTACTGCAGAACGCAGAATATTATTAGAGTATTTCCGATAAAAAAATGAAAGAATTTTATTGTACTATAGGATATATTTCTATGGATTTTGTTTTGAAATTATATTATATTTTATCTGTATTTGCCGATCGCGCAATAAATTAAATATTACAACTTTAAAAGCTGTCTGCGTTGAGAAGATCAACGAGAACGCAGTTGAATGATAAAATAAAACACGTTTTAGATATTATTTTAATTTTTATTCTTAATAATTATTTGTAAGCTCGACTATATACTTTCAAAATCAAATGTGTGTTTGCTTACGTAGTTTAATATATTGAGAAAAATCAATTACACATTTCAACATTTGCATGAAATATTGGATTATATTACTGTAGTTGTAGGTATGTAGTATATTTTGTCAACCAATTTTTCCTCCATATATTTTATTATACATAGTAAATATTAAATTATTATTTTGTATCTCCAAAACGACGATTTGGTTTTTCTCTCGCAGGTATAGTGTAAATCGTAATAATGTGTAAGCAGTATGTGTAACCCGCTTTTTTCACATTAGATATGTTCCATTAAGTAATTACTCTGAAAAAAAAATAAATTTCATCCATAAATATTGTGATTTACTGCTGTGACACGTCGTCTTTAACCGCATTTAAGCACATAAACTTTGACACAAAACGAAAGCATGTTTTGTTTAGACATTATTATCGTAACATATCTTGTATAATAATAATTATTATATTACAATGTGCATGGAAATAATAATAAAACAAAAACATTAAACGTTTCTAGCACTGTTATTCTTGTCTAACACTATATATTCTTGTCTATCTGTTGCAAAGCTTCACACCCACCCACTCTGGCACCAGAACTTCAGAGCACGGAGAATCCCTCCCCTTCTGGCATCCCAGCTTTAGGTAAGACGGATAATATCGTTTTACCCGCTTTTATTATAATATACGATATTAGATAACATAATAAAATAACATAAATGTATTTCTATGTATATTGTTATAATAATAATAACTATGGAATATAATTACGTGCAGTATGCATCTGCAGTATAATGATATGTAATTGTATAATATTATTATTTTAAGCGCCAACTATTTTTTGAACAGTTATTAATCAGGCATGTGAACGTTATAGGAAATCGTGATCAAATCGCATTATTTGAGTAACACAGAAAAGGAAGCAAAAAAAATAAATCAATTAAATATTTTTATTCGACTAAAACTTTATATTCTAGTTAAAATGTAATTTAATTAAACTACCTAAAAAAACTTTATAGTACCTATACTATATCCTGGTACGTTGAACTCATAATTATTGTTTTTACTATTAAATTAAATTCCATCACTGTGATTTGGTTAAAATATGTCTTCATTTTTCAATATGAGAAAATTATTATTATTATTAATATAGAAGCTGCATATTTGATTGTAAAAAATTTAAAAAATTTAAATTAAATCATTGAGACTTTTTATATACCAACCCTCTATATTTTACCGACATACTTACTCCGTTTATTTTTCATTCCAACTGATGAATACCTTTAGAAGGAAAACCAATGTTAAATTTCAAATTAGATATAAAACAATAATCATTTGAAATTAAAAAAAATACACGCACATCTTTTGTTTGTAAAAGATTAGTGTAAAATAATTAAGTTAATTAAAAATTGTAAAATTTGCCTTTAATTAAAGTAAGAACTAGGAATTTTACCAGGTCGGGAGATAGTTAATAATATGATCTTTAATAAATACCTTCAAAGGATTATATTTATGTGTTGCTTACAATACCTACGTTAATCAAATATTTGTATTACATTTAGTTATCCAAGGCATATATGGAAAAAATATTCTGTCGATTTATTAATAATAAAGACTTACGCGTATTAGTTGAACGTTTAATTTTCATATATTTATACTAAACATTTTTTTTCCTGAAAACCGTTTTCTATGAACAATGTTTAACAAATAGGGTACTCATAAAATATGAACAATCAGTGGTACATATATATATGTACCTATTTTTATTTCTAATCAAAAGAATATTTCAAAAATTTGAACATATTACATGAACATTATATTGAAAAAAAAAATAGAGAATAATATGTATTCTGTTGCTCAACAGGTTTCACTCGAGTGCAGGTAAAAAAAAAAGAGGGTTAGCGAAAACTATAATACACTAGACCCCTCACCTATCAAGTCAGATGATATAGTCGTATTCGATGTCTTAATCGTATTTTTTTTTTCATCTTTTATGCTTTTTAGTTTTACTATTTTGTATCTGAATATAACGTTTTGATATCCACGTCGGTTGTGTGTTTTTGAATGTTTCAGGTCCACAATGGACGACCGATGGGAGTAACGATTTAGAAAACGGTACGTCGAACAACACGAACGGAAAAGGAGGGAAAAAAGGTAATAATAAATGAAAGGACTCGGAGGTGTTCCGGTGGTCTAGGGTTGCGGTGTGTGGGGGGGGGGGCTGAATCGAGGTGTGCGTGTATAAATATAGATACATATATTCATATATATATAATATAATATTTGGGACGACGCTCGCGATGTATAGCTCCATATTATTCTATATCGGCGGCGGTCGCGGTCGCGCACAGTTATATCGGCCCGACGACGGTTCGAACGCGGTACACACTCTCGTGCTTACGTAGATACATATTAGGTATATATATATATACGGTGATATTATATTATTATAATATATACGAGCAATATATATGTGCGTGTGTGTGTGTGTGTGTGTGTGTGTATATGTTAAGGGACGCACGCCGACAGATGTTGCGTTCATTATAATAGCGGCGGGAGTGAAGGAGAACAACCCTTCGGGTAAACCTTCAACATTCGATTATGGAAACACAACCCCTCCAACTAACCTCCCTTTATATATACATGTACACCGTCTTCCCTCCCAGCACCGCCGCCGCCCGTTCGTGTCCGCGGCCGTCGCGTCTTGCCCTCACCCTCGAGGGACCGATCGTGGAGTTTTCAGCCTCGTCTGTGTAGGCGGCGGCGGCGGCGGCGGTTTCACTACATCGTGGGCCCGCCGAACCACGTGCGTTTAAACGCTTGCTTTTATTGACCGCGGACCGCGGGAATATACATAATAATATTATACAAAATCGCTCTTTTTGAATCGGTCGTGAAACTATATCGACCGACGGTAGAGGAATTGAATGCCCTTTAATAATATGTATTATAGTATCATACGGAGGCGATAGGCGTATAATATATATTACCTATATAATATAGTCAGTCCCGCCGGGGCCGTCGTGCTGACGTTAACGAAACGAAATCGTTTTCGCATGATATAATAATATTTATACAAATTATACATATACCTACATAATATAAGTGTTCCTAAACGTCCCGATAATGTGCGTTTTGTTTGTTTTCGGCAGACGACAATTCCATTTTGAACGAGATCACTCGGTCCGGGCAGACGTACAGCAAACCCAACAGGCCAGACATCATCAAAAGTAAGTCGTTTTCAAACAATATAATATTATACTATGCACGCCGTCCGTTGTACAATTTGATGCAACGACGTGATACGATCATAATAATTCATAAGTAGGTATAATATATTATATTTTATTGTATGGAAAAGCGTACAGCTATTTTGATGACAGCCGATTCATGCCAGTCGTATATTCGTTGATCGAGGTGGGGGCGGAGGGGATTTCCACAAACAAACAATAGTTCCCAAGTTTTCCAAGTTTCGAGAAATGTTTTCACTTTTAACAAGCATTATAATTTAAGGTATTTTTGCTCTTTTTTCGGAATCAATAGTATTCGTATATTTTAAATAAAATGTTTATAAAAATATTTTTGGGATATGGTTCGGTCTGGGATTCAGCCCGGAAACAAAAACATTATATTGCGTTAAGGGTATTCAATAAAAATACTGTTATATTCATTATTCATTCATTCATTCATTCATAATTTATATTTTTACTTTTGGAGAAACGGTACATAATTATATCAATATTATTATCGTTTGTAATTTTAATGTTTTCGTATTAGGTTCTGTTTATAAATAGTAATTATTTATTGATTATTAAATTATTTACAATAATTGTTAGTATTTATGGTTGAATGAAAGAAACCATATAATAATATAAAATACGTCGGTTTTCTTGAATAAAATCCATAACGGTAACAAATGAAAACTAAGTTCCGTCTATACGTAAAATGTTGTACAATACATTATACCTTCAAACGTAATATATTATCTATTTAAAAATTATAATATAAATAATATTATATCATGCTGGGTTTAATCATCAAATGACGATAATATGCAAAGTCCGCGGTGAAAGGATAATTGTCTTTTTGAGACGACACATCCCGAATTTCAGCAAATAATTTTATTATTTTCTACCTTTTCTCATTGTACCCAATTACGACAGCGGTCATAATATGTATTAATATGCAAAGTCGAAATGTAATTAATGTTTTGCGCCTTTTGTTCGTACGTTGCAGTGATATGCATGATTTACTCGGTGAGTTCCCTAAATGTCTTTATAATATATTATTGTGGGTATGATGACTCATAATCGTACCTTAAAATATTTAATATTTTTCGTATTATATCACTATAGTATAAAACTAACTAGGTACCTACCTACAATTAAAAAAATGTACTTTTCACCAACACTTATTTTTATTAAAATTTGTGAATTATACAAGTTTTCAACATGTTTGACACGGATAGAGTTGATAAATATTTTGTTCATAATAAATTTGAAAATACTTTAAGCGTCGAATTCTTATAATATAATATAATTCATATAATTCAAATATTCAATAAATCAAAAAAAAAAAAAAAAAACGAGATAAAAAAATTATTAAATTAACTACCTACAGATATTCATCGGTACTTAGATTGGTTATACACGTATATAGGTACACCTTTATAAATTAAAATAATTTATATTGTTTCATGTCATTTTTACCCAAAACTGTTACGCATTATATATCACAAACCACTCGTATTGTTATGAAGCAATGAATTAATAATAATAACATTGCTCCTCTCATGGGACAAGATAATAAAATAAAAATGTGAAATTGTAAAATAATATAATTAAGGATCGTTTATTATAGTTATTATCAAACAGAAAAATACATTAGGTAATAAGATAAATGTAATTTATAAGATTGTGTCAGTATTTAACTAATGAACGATAACATAAAAAAAAAAATCGGGGATGTCAGTCTGCTGTATTGTATATTATTATTTCAGAGTGTACCTATATATTATGTATGACGTATATGATACATTTTCATTCAATATTTCAATAATAAATCATTGCATAATATACAAAACACGATTCTGAGTTGGGAGACGGCCTATACTTCAAATTTTTTTTTTATATATATATTTATACCCTCTACAGCATGGGCCATTGGGCTTACAGGAAGGAGATTACAAATTACATAAATTGTAGACTAAATCTAAATTATTCTAAATTTTGGTTTGAAGATTGGAAGCTGTGATGAATTGGATGATGTTGACTATGGGTTGAGGGTGATTGCTTAGTATTTCGGACAGTGATTCAGGCAGGCTGTGGCTTGTTCGGGTATTGTGGTATGTTCGGCATTCAGTGAGAATGTGGCTGATGGTGACTTGGACACCGCAGGATGTGCACATTGGGGGTTCTTCCTTGGCCATTAGGAAGCTGTGGGAGATTTTTGTGTGTCCAATTCTAAGTCTGATTATTATGAATTCGAATTTTCTGTGGATTTTGATAGGGAATGTCCAATTGACGGTGTTATGTTCTATAAAATTTAATTTTGTGTAATAAGATGTCCACCTCTGATGCCATGTTTCTAGACATTTCTTTGTTATAAGTGTTTCGTATTTAACTGGAAGAAATAATTTTTGTAGACGTTGACAGTGGAGAGGTAATTGCAGTTTTGGCGGCGAGATCAACTAGTTCGTTTTCTTTTATGTTCAAATGTCCGGGGATCCAGAAGAGTTTGATTTTGAAGTTATTATGGTATTGTAAAGTGTGGATTTTGTTCTGAATACAGAGGCCAATGTCTGATGGGTTATATGTGTTTTTAATATTGTTGATAGCGCTGAGGGAGTCAGTGAAGATTTCAAATCTTCAAATTATACTTCAAATTATATTTTATAAAAGTGTTTATTGCTAGTTGCTACTATTTATTTTTTTCCCATGAGTAGGTAATACGGTAAATTGAATTAAATTTGAAAAAAACAAATCACACGTCATGTTATATAATAAAGATTCCGATATTTTAGTTTCTGAGTGAAGCCAAGAATATATTGGTTTTACAAAGATGTATTTTTTTTTGTTTTTTGTATGTCTTTAATCTGTATGCTTCAACCATCAACTTTGAGTTTCTGATAGAAAATAACTATCTGTGAATTTTAATAAGTCAAAGTGGAACATTCACAGAATTTTTCAAATTTTTCAAATTTTTTTTTTGATTTTTTCAATTTCAAAAATTCTGAAAATTTTCAAAATTTTCAGAATTTTTCAAATTTCATCAACAGAAAAGAGTTTTTACGAAAAACTAGTTTCATACAAATTTTGTTTTTTTATGTATCTAATTCAAAAACTAATAATTAAAAATACTTCAAATGTTAAAAATAGTTAGTCGAAATCATGAACATTTTTCAAACTACCTAAATAAATAATTAATTATTGTTTAATTTTTATAGCTAAGGCTTCAAAAATGTAATACAAGATTCCTCATGTATCTTGGGACCATCTAAACAATTTCTAATTTTTTTTTTGTACTCACTTATTATGAAGTTCAAATTTTGAACGAATAACGATTTTAGTTTTTGTATTCAAAGATATTTTTCGTTAAGGGTTTTTCAACTTTTTCGTTTTTATTACTATATTTTATATACCAACAGAATAACATTTTCAAAAAATGTTAATTAATTTTAGACTATGTCTGTTTAATGTTTATGCTTCATGCCGTATTACTAATATAGTAAAATTAATTACTGTAGTTATTATTAGCAATATATCATATTTATATGATAATAGTCAATATTGGCTGACAGACCGTTTTCGTTAAGAATTGTTTTTCGTAGTCAATTATATATCATTGGATTGAAGGCATATTAATCTATTATCGACTTAATTAATTATTATAATATTTAAAGTTTATACATTTTGAATGCTGTAAGCTATGAAATATCGATTTATAGAATACATTTTACTTATTTTATATTCTGCATGATATGGCTTATAGTAATATTTTATATAATATTACTTCCTATGTTACGAACTTTTAAGTCAATACTGCGTGCCTTAGATTCGAGGTATAAATAGCTTAAACTCAATCTAAATATTTTGAAAATTTGTATTTTGTATACTAAATAATAATAAAGGTAGTGGAGAAAAGAATTATGTCCCTACGAAAAATATTTTATTACTTACAAAAAACATTATAAAAATTATTTTTATTTTTGTTTAAATATCCAATTTCATCGATATTTAAATTTTAAGCTTGAAAACCTATGTAATTAACTGAGCAAATACCTATAGAATTTTAATACGTTTATGTTGCTGTAAGAAAAACTCGTTTGAAACCTATACTATGTGTAATCTATTGTAATCTAATGTATACATTTTCAAGCCCATTATTAACAAAAAATTAATTTCAACTTTTCGCGTTTTTTACAAAATTTGTTTAAACTTGAACTAGAAACAATAGGTAAATGTTATAAATAAATGTTATACATTTTATTTTTACATTTTATATATAAAAAATGTACACGTCCGCTTTATTTTTTACATTTTTAAACTTCTATTACAAATTATGTTGAATCTTGTAATATATATATATATATATTTAAGCTTTTTTGACAGACCAAATAAATTTGAAATAACTCACTAAAAAAAAAAAAAAAATTGAAATCCCTATAAAATATAAATAATATTTTATAAATTGTTCATCAACCCTATTTTAAGTTAATCTAATATTAATTAACCATTAATCTAAAAATCTTCTGTGCATAATATATTATATGTAATTGTTTCATTTTACAACATTATCAAATAGTTTAAAATTTAAACATATTTTTAAAGAAAATTAGGGAGGTAGATAATATACGTATAACTATGTCCCTTGGAGAAGTGACTGGACGACATCATATAAAAGTATACCAAAAGTTAAAGGGGGTTGGGGGGTCTCAACTTTTTTTAGTCTTCAAGTACCTACTGCTCATTAATTATTGTTGTTGTAATTTAAAATCTATTATGTTTACTCTTATAAATATTTTTTTTATTTTGGTATAAACATAGGCGTGCCCCTCCTGCGAATCCAATTTTTTCTCTAATAAAGTCAAATTATAAAGAGTAACAAATGTTAATTTTAAAAAATGATTTAACTACCATATGACTGGCCCTCCTGCCAAGGACTGCGCACGTCTATGATAAACACAAATTACAATTAATTCAAACCTATTGGCTATTACAGTATTACATTG